GGAAAAAGAATCACACCCAATCTAGCGTATTTAAATGTAAGCATCAATTATCTCTGTTTGAAAATTTAATACAATGAGATAAAATATATATGTTTCTATTTTTTTAGAAAAATGATGGTAGACGTTCAGATTTTATAAAAATTACTCAAAATGTACATCCTGATTCTTTTTCTTTCTTCTTTATCCTCGCCTTAATCCCAACTACTTGGGGTTGGCCACCCATATTCTAAACTTCCACTTGACAAGATCTCCCACATCATCTACGCTCATATCAGCTGTCTTCATATCACATTCAACAACATCCCTTCATTTCTTTTTTGGTCTTTCTCTACCTCTCTTCCTTCGACATTCATTTCTATAATTGTTCTTACAGATAAAATTAATTTGATTAATATGTAAAATTTAGAGGTCGACGTCAAATTATAGTTAAACAATTATGAAGGTGTACGTATAGTTTTGATGGAATAATAACCAATGAAATAAAATTGTTAAATGTTTAATAAGTTGCCTATATGTGATAGCACGGCGTTAAATATTTAAAGTTTTTATTAAATAAATTAGGTAATAGGATAGCTTAATTTAAATAATGAAGTTGAGATGGTGCTGTCCCTATGACTTATTGATATTGGAACGCTTGAATTAAAGTAGTTGTATCACCAAACAATAATAACTCATGTGATTTTAGACAATACATAGATGTAAAAATAATTATAAATTGTAATATTTACGTAAAAATCTAAAAAAATTATGCTATAAGCTTTCAAAGACAGCTTCAAAATTAATTGTATGGATTTAAAATAAATAATAATGTACAGTGCAATTTATTTACAGTGTGATATTACTTTCCCTTTTTTGTTACCGACCTTTTTGCAGGGGTCGAAAATCGGCAATTTTGCGGTTTCTACATGTTACGTAGTTTCGTTGTGTGAAGTAACTGATTACTAGTATGAGTGTCCATTATTGGGAGTTTTTGCGTCGTGTTATAGTCGATAAAAAAACAATTTTATATTTATTTGTTGTCTTGTGAATTATGGTTTTTAAATTGCTAAGGTATGGTATTCAAAGTGAACCATTGGCAAAAGAAGTTTTAAACACAGGCTTTGTGTGTACAGGCTATCCTGTGCTATTTTTGTGTTAAAACTCTCGATTTTTTATTTAAAATTTTTAACTTTAAAATATTATAACTTTTTGAAAAATTTATGGTTCAACATAATTTTTTTAAGAGAAATAATATTTTTTAATAATCCCTTTTTCATTCGACATAATTTATCTTAATCAGGATATTAATAAGGAACTAGTAGATCNCAATTTATTTACAGTGTGATATTACTTTCCCTTTTTTGTTACCGACCTTTTTCCAGGGGTCGAAAATCGGCAATTTTGCGGTTTCTACATGTTACGTAGTTTCGTTGTGTGAAGTAACTGATTACTAGTATGAGTGTCCATTATTGGGAGTTTTTGCGTCGTGTTATAGTCGATAAAAAAACAATTTTATATTTATTTGTTGTCTTGTGAATTATGGTTTTTAAATTGCTAAGGTATGGTATTCAAAGTGAACCATTGGCAAAAGAAGTTTTAAACACAGGCTTTGTGTGTACAGGCTATCCTGTGCTATTTTTGTGTTAAAACTCTCGATTTTTTATTTAAAATTTTTAACTTTAAAATATTATAACTTTTTGAAAAATGTATGGTTCAACATAATTTTTTTAAGAGAAATAATATTTTTTAATAATCCCTTTTTCATTCGACATAATTTATCTTAATCAGGATATTAATAAGGAACTAGCAGATCATGTAACTTTTGAAATAATCCACCAATTTTTTAAAATTAAACACTATCTAAAGATTTGCATCGAAGCGTTTTTTTTTTGTAGTGATTTTTATCACTGTCAGATATCATTATACTTGATCCAACTATGGCACGTCACCACTGTACTGGGTTTTTTTTTTATAAAATTATTTAGAGCTTAGGGCATATTTAGAGCTCATTTTAGGAAGAGTGACTTAATTTTTTCTATGTAGAAATAAATAATTTAATAGGTACATCAATCAGTGGTTTGTATTTTAAAACTTGTATAGTAATGATTTGCAAGTATTACAAAAATTNTCCTGTGCTATTTTTGTGTTAAAACTCTCGATTTTTTATTTAAAATTTTTAACTTTAAAATATTATAACTTTTTGAAAAATGTATGGTTCAACATAATTTTTTTAAGAGAAATAATATTTTTTAATAATCCCTTTTTCATTCGACATAATTTATCTTAATCAGGATATTAATAAGGAACTAGCAGATCATGTAACTTTTGAAATAATCCACCAATTTTTTAAAATTAAACACTCTCTAAAGATTTGCATCGAAGCGTTTTTTTTTTATAGTGATTTTAATCACTGTCAGATATCATTATACTTGATCCAACTATGGCACGTCACCACTGTGCCGCGACCCCCCTGTGCTGGGTTTTTTTATATTGTACTTACTAATTCAATAACGATGGTGTAATTATTTTACAAGTATTAAATATTTTTGATATTTAAAAAATAAATGGGTTTTTTTTTTTATAAAATTATACCAAGGGCATATTTAGAGCTCATTTTAGGAAGAGCGACTTAATTTTTTCTATGTAGAAATAAATAATTTAATAGGTACATCAATCAGTGGTTTGTATTTTAAAACTTTGTATAGTAATGATTTGCAAGTATTACAAAAATTATTAATACTGACACTATTTCTTATTTTATTTATGTTGAACCATTCTTTGTTTCATGAAAAAAGGAGGTTTCTTAGAAAAATTAGTAGTAATTTAAGTAATCGTTTATTTGAAGAATAATGAAGAATATTTTGTTTGTCTATTTTTACACTGACATAGTTCTAATTATAATTATAAAAATAAAGATTATTATTATTGTAACTGTAAATGAGTACTAGTGAACTCTGATAGTTGAACACGGTAGTTATAATTACAGTTATTCTGTAACCTTATAAGAGGAGCCCCTTATTGATGACAGATTCTTTTCAGAGTGTAACTAGGTATTTATGTGAGCATTGTGTGATACAACATTTAAGTGGGATGACTCTGTGTGGTATACTCACTATCATTTCAGTGTTTGATGCTTCTGTTGTCTTAATTGTTACTATTTGACATTGTATTACAATCTCCTTTCTGTATTTTATATTTTGTATACATTTAGTTTTAGTATGATGATTAGTATGTTATAAAAAATAATCTAAATACAATTTTAACTGGTCGATAACAAGTTTTGTATAATTAATTTTTGAGATATTAGCATTTTAAAATTCAGAAAATGTGAGGAGCGATATAATGTTTAGCGAAATTATATATTCACCATAACATACAGATAATAATTCTTCTACGTTACAAATCCCTTTCGGCTATAACTAAAAATTAAAACTTAATAAGTAATAATACAATTAGTTTCGTGCTAACTGTCATTGGCACCTCTATTTAATATATTTTTTAACAAAATACGTATTATGCCAAAAAAAGTATTAATATATTTAGCACTCCTCAAATGTGTGGCACCAAGGACACTTGTCTCTGTTGTCCCCATTAGCACGATCCTGAATACAATAGTGGTTTAAATTTTATTTAAACCATTTCTAAATAATAGTAAATAAATAATAATAGTTATCCATATATCATAAAATTTAACATGAGCTTATGAATTAAAATTAGTGATGTTAACAATGATATAAGTTAAGTTAATTAGAAAAATATAAAAAAAGCTATAAGGTTGTAATACATTATTTCTTAAATATTTAGGTGTACATATTGTATTTGAGATATTATAAGTTAAATATTAATGTTTAAAAGTAGTTTGAAGCGTTGTTAATTATTCACTAAATAGATTTTTAGTAAGACCGGTATGACAACTTTTAATTGGTACTAGATTTTGACATAACTAGAGTATACCATACTTGCATATTAGGTATGTAAATGCTGTATGGTATATAATGTATTAAGACACAAAAAGTAATAATTATTATATTTTAAGTAATCTACATTTACATATTTTTAAATTATATTTACTTCGATATTGAACTGTCTATTATACACAATAATATGGCAATTTACATCTTTTGGGATTTGAAACTATTTCATTTGGCTATGCTAACACATAAATATTGGCTGTATACATAGGAGAGTAAAGAGTATATGATTAGTGTATTAAAACTACTTTTACTTTATATTCCTTGACAGCAGAGCACGGTCCACAGTGTACAGAGGAGAGATGATTAGTGCAGGTTTTTTATATATTAAATAAAAATAGTTTATTAATGAATCGTTGTAATAAAATTTCATGTGACAATAAAAATTATTTAGTTAAAAGAAAGGCGTCCTTTACAATGTGGTGCAAGATGTGATTAATGTATTAATAATGCCACTCGTACCAATAGTTATCTAAGCTTGTACTGACTATGAGTCGTGTCAATTAATACCTTGAGTAGTATACGAACCACAAGTAGATTCTCTACCTTCAAAGAGAGTTTTGTATTGTATTGACCACACAGGTAACCACTCAAAAATTAGACTAGGCGAGTTAACTTCGTACAAACGATATCAATTTTATTTATTTAAACAATATTGTATTTTAGTGATCACTTATTTTTCTAGTTCTTTGCTTAATATATGTACACATTATACTTAACTTTAAACCTTATAAATTTTATCGGAAATATAATTTTACCTAACTGATGTTAGAAGTAAGGTTGAAAATAAATATATTTCAATTTTTTGTGAAATTATAATGTTTGCCAAGCCACTTATTACGCTTGTCGAAAGATCATAAAGTCAAGGAGTAGTGAATCGAATCGACAATTTTCGTGCCCTTTTGTATTAAATTAAATTTAATGTGCAAGAAGTGTTACGAAGTTTAGTTTATTACTCAATTGTGTTAGTTATTACATACAATTTTACTTAAAATAGATGATAACTAAATAATTCCTTATAGTTATTACATTAGATTTGTATCAATGAATTTTTATACATATTTCTCGGAATACTTTAAAAGTTTGACATGAATAATTACATTTAATTTTATGAATAATAGACAATGATTTATAGACTACTTAATAATGAGTGGTGTATTTATTATAAAACAACAAAATATAAATATTATCATTATAAACTAATGAGGTGCAATTTTGTACAGAATATTATAAATATAATATATTTTATTTTTAAAATAGGAAAATTCATTGAATATATATTTTGAATAAGCTTAAAATAAACTTAATAGTGTAAAATTACATCGGCGTTCAAAAAATTAATTAAAACACCATCATTGTCATGATTGTTCACGAGAATCCTTGTTTGCGTCGTTTTTCTTAAATGATGATGATGACGCGCCTAGAGTAATAAATAAAAATTGTAATAAACTTAAAAATTACTAGTATTTTATATTCATTATTTTTATAGCTCCTTATAACATATATTGTTATGATGGTATTCTCAGTATTAAGTATGTAATAGTTAAAAAATACTTAGTTAAATAAGAAAACTATGAAGTATATGATCATTCCTCGAGAAATGAAAAAAATATAAATATATACAAATAAAAATCTTTATTTTTAATTGTTATAAAAAATAGAGCTGGTTAAGGATATGGAAGAAGAGTTATTTTGTCATAATAAAAAAAAAAGGGTAGGATGAGCGTTAAAAGGGGGGGATAAGTAATTTATTTAGGTCATTAGAAATAAATTAAAGGGCAAATAGGTATAGTTTTGACATAGAATCTAAATGAATGTGAAAAATGTTAAATTTATAATTTGTCAATGGTTTATCATGCATAAAAGGGATGGAGTATAGGAATAGGATAGGTTCAATGCATTATTTAAATTTGTTTACCTATAAGATGATAATAAAATTATACGGTTAATGATAATGGATCTTTTTGTTAAAATAAAATGACTACACATGGTTTGTCGAAAATGTAAAGTGAAGGGAAATTATACGCGGATGACATTAACTTGAATAATATTAATTCTACTATGAAATGTGCAATGGTTTTTGGGGGAGGATTTTATGACTCTGTATCGGTGTTTTTTATCGATTGTTGTATACAGAGTGTTCAGTAAGTCAGGAAACGGGTTTCTATTGTTCTCATTGTTACAAACAACGAGAACAATAGAAACCCGTTTCCTGACTTACTGAACACCCTGTATACAGGAAACAATGCGTATTTACGTAAAATGCAACTGTTCGATTGTTGGACGCCAAGCTTTAATAGCAGAATTATTTTTTATATGAATAATAAATACAAGTAAAACATTTACGTTACGAACATACAATTGCCATTAGAATGATGATAAAATAGTTAAAATTATTGACGTTTAGAAGCAGTTATATTATTCCCATTATAAAAATTATTCATGACTTATTTCAAATCAATGTTTAATTTTTTTTTTATGACATGCTTAGAAATATAATTTCTTACCTGTTTTCCATTTAACTTGATCGTTTGTTATACAAAAAAAAAAAAATAATAATAAATATATATAATAAAAGCACGGACTTTAATCTATTTATTTATTTTATAATCTTATAAAAATTGTTAAACTTGAAATATTACTTCACATAAATCCCTTTCTACACTTGGTATTTAAATATATATATATTTTTATAGTTCAAAATAAAAATTTTGTAGAACCAGATAGATTATGAGAACCAAACCCTTGTGACATGTCACAAATTATTGTTTTACTAACAATTTCAACCACTTGATGTGCTAGGGTAATGACTTTAATAATTTATCAATATTTTATAAAATAGTGTATTTTATGTGAAAGTCGACAGAGTTAGAGACAGGGTGGCTACACCATCGGAGATAATACTCGTCGATCCATGGCTCTTACGGAGTCTAGAACTGCTTGCCGAAAAGAATGTGACAGAATATGAGAATCAATCCCTAGTGACACGTCATAAACTATTGTTTTACGAATAGTTTTAACCACTTGATGTTCTAGGGTAATGATTTCAACAAACAATCAGTATCTTGTGCAATTAATCAAACACTTATCTACCTAAATTTAAGATACACTCTACGTGAGTACGTACGATTTCCTTAGTGACAAGTCATAAACTATCGTTTTACCAACAGTTTTAACCACTAAATGTGCTAAGGTAGATTTTCGAAATGCACTTATTCAATAGACAACCCAATTGAAGAATTAAAAAAAATTTCTTAATCGGAACAACTCACAAAATACAAAATTAAGAAAATTAATTGTCTTATTAATTCTTAAACATTTAAAACTAAAAATAAAAAGGTTAACTTTTTTTTTTTATTACATTACTTATGAGAGAGTTAAATAAAAAACACCAAGTATGAAAAAGTTTCTAAGTTCGAGAGAGTACAATCGTTAAACAGTCTGGTGAGGAGGCGCTTCATAGCCAGATTTAAAAAAAAAATAAGGTAACGAATGAGCCAGAAGTCGCACTTTTATAGGCCTGTTTATGAAGGGAAAATTGATATTTTAGATTTTATTGAAAAATGCTTTTTATTGGTTAGTTTATTAAATTTATATGGACACGTGCGCAACCTATTATTCTACTATTTTGAGTCAATGTTACATACGAGTATTGGTGTTTTATATCTATCATCTCCCATGATAAGTTAAAAGTTACTTCAAAAATGCCCAAATTTAGAAAAAAAAAAATTTTATTTGTTTCTTACTATGCTTGACATACGCTATTGGCATATCTGTATCAAAAATAATAATTTATGTTTAAGATTTTAATAATATCATTTAAAAACATGTTTATAGAAAAAAACATTTCCAAATCTTCATAATAATGTATATTGTTTTTAATAATGAATAATAATAATTTTTAACAAAAATAATATACAAGGTGATTTTTTTATCATAACCCACTCAATTACATACAGAATAATAATAATTTAAAAATTTTTTTAGCTTCGATGCGAAGCTGAGAAGGTATTAATTTTACTATGATGTGTTTTTTTATTTTTTTTTTTGTGTGTCTGTGAACGCTCAATCTCAGCTCTCGCTGGACCGATTTTGATGAACAATATGTCAAAAGATCACAAATCGTATCTAGTCGAAGACATTACCCTCAAAAATTGAAAAAAATTCCCTCGTTCCCCGTAAACGGGGGAAATCCCCCAAAAAATTACAAATTTAAAAATCGCTAATTTTCGATATTTTTTCAATTTTTTTTACTTAAAATTGC